ATTCCCTAAAGACCTAAAAAGAGCATGCTACAGGGACACTGCTACATTGATGTTCATAGCAGCACAATTCACAATAGCAAGACTGTGGAACCAACCTAGATGCCCTTCAATAGACGGATGGATAAAAAAAAATGTGGCATTTATACACAATGAAGTATTACTCTGCATTAAAAAATGACAAAATCATAGAATTTGCAGGGAAATGGATGCCATTAGAGCAGAATATGCTAAGTGAAGCTAGCCAATCCCTAAAAAACAAATGCCAAATGTCTTCTTTGATATAAGGAGAGTAACTAAGAACAGAGCAGGGAGGAAGAGCATGAGAAGAAGATTAACATTAAACAGGGATGAGAGGTGGGAGGGAAAGGGAGAGAGAAGGGAAATTGCATGGAAATGGAAGGAGACCCTCAGGGTTATACAAAAGTACATACAAGAGGAAGTGAGGGGAAAGGGAAAAAAAATAACAAGGGGGAGAAATGAATTACAGTAGATGGGGTAGAGAGAGAAGAGGGGAGGGGAGGGGAGGGGGGATAGTAGAGGATAGGAAAGGCAGCAGAATACAACAGACACTGGTATGGCAATATGTATATCAGTGGATGTGTAACCAATGTGATTCTGCAATCTGTATATGGGGTAAAAATGGGAGTTCATAACCCACTTGAATCAAAATGTGAAATATGATATATCAAGAACTATGTAATGTTTTGAACAACCAACAATAAAAATTTTTAAAAAAAAGTTCTTATATTTAGGCAAAGGATATATTTATATCCTTCTTTCATAAGTATTCTAATATACATATTTGTATGTATTTTGCTAAAGTTGTTAAATGCCTAAATACTGCTTAATCCAAACATATTTTGTAAATTTGATAAACTTACATGTAACAAATTATTCAGAAAGTAAAAATTCATAAATACAAGAATTTCTTATGATCAAATTTTCCTTTAGGATACACCAGACAATCCTCAAAATGTTTTAGGGATCCGATGGTTCCACATCTTTGGACCAGCACCTCAGCCACCACAGTACCGACTGAGAGGCCTGTCTCAGTTTACTGTTCCCCAGAATCAGGACAAATGAGTGGCCTGAAGGAAAAGCTGCTCCTATAACCCAGATCAATGAAACGATCAGATGTTTCTCTGGAAACTTCCAAACTTGTACAAAATGCGACAGAAAGTAAATGACATACAGGAGCAGGAAGGTGGTCACAGTTTGCAAGGCTTTCACGTGGGCCGTGGCGCTGGCGTCCCTGGACCCTTTGACACTGTGCTGCATCCTCTTCAGATGTTTCCACAGAGAGAAGATTAGCAGGAGAATAGTTGTCAGGGACACAATAAAAGGCATGAGCATGAACATAGTGTTGATAAAAAAGAGGTTGCAAAGATGTTCAACGTTGCTCAAACTGGAACTGTAAGACAGGTTTCCTTTATATCCACTATTCCAGACATCAAATTGTGTGCTTATAAGTATAATATTTAAAAATAATAGAACCAGAGACACCAGCAGTGTCGCTGAAATAACTATTCTAACTCTCCACCTTAGGTAAAGAAAAAAAGAATAAGAAAAGTTAGCTATCTTGAAAAAATAAAAGATGCTAAGGCTTGTAGCAAGCCAGACACTGATATAGTTGGCTACTGTCCAGATACTAAAAATGATTCTTAACATGTTTCCAGTGATCATTAAACCTGGGTACAGTGAAGATACCAATAAATACACCATGTTTGACCAGAGCACAACAATTCTGGAGAGTGCCAAACCAGTGAGGATTTGATCAACTAAGGAGATCTTTCTTCTCTTGACCCAGTCCACACAGTTCACCAGTGCTATGAATCCATTTCCTAAACTCCCAATTACTAACTCCACATTTAAAATGACTCCAAATATGTTCTGTACAACACCATTCATTGTCTATAACAGAATGCCCCAATTTCTAGTATACTGCTGAAGATTTGTTCACACATTCATTTAAAGTGCCAAGTATATCTGACTCTTCAATATTCATATACTCAACTTTTTAAAATTCCCATCTACAATAACAAACAAGCGAACATCAAGATTTGTCAATAACCAGTTTTCTTCACGACAAACATGCATTTTCCAAGACAGACCAACTGAGCTTCAACCAGATACTGTGCCTCCACACTCAGTAGACAGGAGTCTGTGGTAGTTGAGGATGAAGGAAACACTAAAATCTCATAGGCAAACATGGAAATAAAGATATATTTATTTGCATTGATTTGCTCTGTCTTATTTACATATTTTAATCTGGCTACTTGAGTTATGGGCAAGCAACATCACAATATTCTAATGTGTACAAAAAAGATAATGAGAATCTCAGTGGTGTATAGAACTTCCCAAGCACTGAGGTTCTATAAACACTTGAAAATTTGGTCTCTGCAAGGACCTATGCACACATTGTACAAAGTTTTTCTGTAAATCATCAGTTATCTAGTGATCTCATGGAGATTGTTATCCCTCAAATATTCAGTTCTTTATTATTTTACTTTGTACAAGGTCATGTATAACACACACACACATACACACACACACACATACACACACATACACACACACACACATACAATTCACATATAAACACTATTTGGATCCAAATCCTGGTTATTATCCACTTCAATAATTCAGCATTTCATTTACTCAACATTTATTATGCATGTGACTCATGTATAGTACTATGATAGATGTTGAGATAAAAATGTTTCAAGTATAATTTTTGCAGTATTAATGTAATTTTGGGGACTAATAACCTGCACATCTGAAAAGCAATGGAAATCTCTCTGGTCCCCTAAAGCAGTCACTGCAGTGAATGAGTTCATCCAAGAAACAAGAATACTCCTCATTTTTTGTCTTTTCCTTGCCCGGTAGGAACCATTCCTCCACAGCACCAGAGACCTTCAGAATAGCCACCTGCCCTCACCTCACACCAACATCTGCTCCATGACCCTTACTACAGGGACATGTAAGGGACATTGTTGTAAAAGGAACATGGGGAAGCCTCTGAAATTCTTCCTTACTGTTAGACAATATAACTGCATTCTCTAGGGAATGAAATTAATTTCTGCCACCATAAAAACACTGTAAATCACAGGAGCCATGTTCCTTCTCATGTCACTATTTAATTAACCTCTACTGACTGTGCCATAGCCAGAGGCAATCAGAGAAGAATCTTAACTGAGCAGAAAATTGCCTGTGATGCTTCATTTCGGGCTATTGATTTGGTGAATAATTTTCCATCTATAGCCATTTTGGGAAAAATCAAACAATCTAACATTTGTTTATAATGTTGTTATAGCACACCTTGCAGAGGTATGTCAGAATTACACCTCTTCTTCTCCCAGTTTCATTTACATTTTTCAAACATTATGTTCATTAAACATAACATATTAGTGATGTTCTACTAATTAGTACCTATAAGCAGGAAGTGGCAAGTTCCTGAAATACTGTAAAATATCATAACAGTACAGAAGAGAAAAGCACTATAAGGAGAGAGAAGTAAGAGAGGATTTAGGGACCTCCACCTTCAATGTTGTTTAAGGGGTCCAGTGGTCTGATCTACTTGTGCAAACATCCTTACTAAAGTAAATGGCATGTTGTGCTATCTTCTATTTCCTATTACTAAAAACGTGCCATAATACGTGTTGTGCTTTGGAGCCAGGTATACTACATTTGAGGATATTGCACTGAACCATTTATGGAGTTTCCCTAAAAGTTGCTGCTTTCAAGACAGCTGTATATCCAGTGTAGACCAGCGTCCAAAATGCTCTGACCATTGCTTTGCAAGATGATTCTGCAGTTCAAAGCTAATAGAAGTGTCTGTAGGGGGCAAGGATGCTATGTATGTCTCTGACACAACTCATAGGAAAAGGGGTGACCGAATGCCTACTGAATTAGGATGAGGCCATCCCCTCTTCAGCAAAGGGGTACACTGTGTCTGAGAAATAAAATGGTAAGAGCAGATGGTTAAAACAAACATAAGGTCCCTCTAAGCACAGGGCCCTCAACAACTACAAAAGTCATACATTTACAAAGTCATTTACTGTAGGAGGGAATGAGCACCTGATTTTCCAAGAGGTGGACTGTGTGGAATACAAATTTGTGTATATCCTTAGATTTCCTATCTCCTATTCTCTTGGTCAACATCTTGTGTGGTCCAGGTTATCCTTCTATTTTGTACTGTAGCAGAATTCCATTCTATGAGCCTAAGATCTTACTCTGTAAATGGCCACTAGGGGGCAGTATAATAAAAGTTTTTTTTAATAAATTCCCCCTTGGGTAAACTCTGACCAAAGGATTAGAAGAGAGAAGAGTTGACATGAATAGTCACTCCTCTCTTTCATGGACTAATGTTCAATCTGGTTCCCCCTGAACTTTCCTAGAAAAGTTCCTACACATGCTGAGCCCTGGTTTTCTTAGCTTATTGTAGTACACCAGTAGAACCACGTCACATCACCTTGCTTCACGTCTTCCTTTGCCTTTTCCACGTGCCCTCCACACTTCTGCATTGATTTGCCTTCTCAGATAAACACAATCACTCTATCTCAGGAATGACTCAGATTTTAAAAGCCCCAAGCTAAAACATGCATTGAATTGCATGATTATTATTTGTTCACTTCTCTGTGAATTTATAATATGGCAATTTTTAAAGTTTATTTACAAAATATGTGGGGGCTGGGGCTGTAGCTCATAGGTAAAGCGCTTGCCTAGCACGTGTGAAGCACTGGGTTTGATCCTCAGCACCGTATAAAAATAAATAAATAAAATAAAGGTATTGTGTTCATCTACAACTAAAAATATTTTTTAAAAAGAAAAGAAAATATGTTGGAAAAATATTACACTAAACTAATATTTTAGGAGAGAAGTTGGTTACTAGCTAAATTTCAAAAAGCCAAATTGACACTTTTGTGTATAAAATAGCCAGCTAGAAAATAATAATAATCTATCATTCATAATAAAAATACATATGTAAATTTTAAAAGCCTATTATACTTATTATTTTTTAATACTGTATTGTGGCAAATGCCTTCTGCTTTTGGTGTTCCAACTCTCTCTACTTCACACTCTTGATATAGTTGAATCAAGGCTATATTCTTTTTTTTTAATTAGGTTGTGGATATATATATATATATATATATATATAGAGAGAGAGAGAGAGAGAGAGAGAGAGAGAGAGAGACCTTTTATTTATTTATTTATTTATTTATTTATTTATTTATTTATTTATTTATATGTGGTACTGAGGATCCAACTCAGTGCCTCACACATGCTAGGCAAGGGCTCTACCACTGAGCCACAACTCCAGCCCCATTGATATTTTCCCTGGAATTGTGGAACAGCCATCCTTTTGCTCTGAGAAATGCTTCTATTTGGGTAAGCCTGTAACCTCAATGTGGAACCAAAACCAAGAAATCTGTGTAACCTGCAGATTTGATGGTGGACTTCATTTTCATTGGTTTGCTGGTCCTAATATACTTCATTGTTGCATTTACTAATAAAATATTATTTTCACCAAATGTTCTTTGTGCTAAAATCAGGGTGTTAGAAGAAGACAGCAAAAAAGATAGATATGACCTCAGCTTATTTAGAGCTTATACTATACTGGGGATACACGATAACTACACAAATAAATAAATCAGATGTGGACTTGATCTATCCTAAGACATTACTAAAATTTCATAATACCAAGAATTAATGTAGTCATGCAGAATTTAATTAGTATTCAAGGCCACACATTTCCATCTTATAATTGAACTTGTAAATAATTATAACATCAACACATTTCTCTCACTTCCACATTTACACCAGATAATAATAAAACAGGTATATGGAAAATTCCCTGCAATTATTATGTGGATTTTATAGGTGCAATTTTAATGGTTGCAGAAATATTCACTGAATTATGTAACAAGATTTCTATACTATTTTTTGTACGGCATCTTTTCTTAATATCAGAAATATTAGAAAATTCACATCATAATTTAAAGGGTATTTAAGAATGGAAGATGAATGATATTTGGGGGAATTCAAAATGCACAGAGGTGTTTTAGGAAAAATGGAAATATTTTAAAATCAGATCATGACCACAGTTCTCCCTTTTTCATCCATCCTTATTATAGACATTAGCCTTTTCTAATCTTTCCATCTATTATTTTTCAGTACTATTTATGGTAGTCACATACTACATTTACACTGTATTTGTTTTTATTGTGTGCATGTTTTATTCCAACAATTCTGGTTATTCTTTATTAAGTATGACATAAGAATTCATAATGACATAAGTTCTATTTCAAACATGCATCTTTGATATAAGCTTTGACAATATTTTTCTTTGAAATACTGGGGTTGAACCCAGGAGGGCACTCTATCCCTCATCTATATCCCTAAGTCTTTTGCCGCAGTCCGGCTGCAGCAAACTAACCAGGGGTTGACGAACAACAGGAGTGGGAGCCGTTTATTGTAGGACAGGAGTGGTATTTATACATTCCACACAGCTTATCTTAATTAACATAAAATAGATACAGCAGTCAACCAATAAGGAATCTCCACACTTAATGGCTAGCTGGCGTTACTTCACAAACCACTCCCTCTGGCAAAATGCCAGGCGCCATCCAGACTTGTTTACAGACTCTAACAGTCTTTCTTTATTTTTCATTTTGGGACAGGTCTAATTAGGTTGCTAAGGCTGGCTGGCCTGGAAATTAAAATACTTCCCCTTCATCTCCCGAGGTGCTGGGATTTCAGGCAAGCACCACCAACTGCTCTACATTGATTAAAATTGAACACTCATAGCTGGGGATATAACTCAGTCGTAGAGCACTTGCCTAGTAAGAGTGAGGGCCTGGGTTCAACCCCTAGTATGGGGGCAAGGGGGATTGAATGTCCTTGCAATCCAAAATGTTAGAAATTCAAAAATGAAGAAATCTAAACATACTATGCCACTTAAGTAAGGTATAAAGAACAAGGGAAAATAGTATTCATTTCCTGAGATAACCAAATGCTTTTACACTACTGATCATAAATATATCTGGAAAATGTCCTACCTTGCTTTGTATAATTAGGTTGTTTACATCAAAAAACAATGATTGTATGTTATAGTGAATCTTTCTCATTTTCCACACATGCACAGAAACATACTCACATGTGTATACCTTTGCTTAATTAGCTTAGGTAACCGACTTTCTAGAAAATTGCTTAGAAATTATTCAAAATCATACACATACTTCTTATCTGCAAAGAAGATAAGAAACATAAAATCTTGCTGATTCCATGTGATTTCTACTAAAAATCACACCTTGTCCCTGTTATTGACTTTAAGATTTTCGATTTTTCTTGGCCACAGGAATAACAGAAAGGTCTATTTCTGCTTTTGTTTCCCAAAATCAGGACAAATGAATGACCTGAAGGATGGACCAAACCAGTAGCCTGGCAAGAAGATGACCAGGTCTTTCAGCATTCTATTAGAAGGCCCACAGATACAATTAAAGACGGAGAAGACATGGCAAATAACAAGAGAATGGAGACCAGAGCTTGCAACGCGTTCATGTAGACCTTGGTGCTTAGGACCCTTTGTCATGGACCTACATGTTCCTCAGAGGTTCTAATAGAATGCTGAAAGAACTGGACATCTTCTTGCCAGGCTACTGGCTTGGTCCATCCTTCAGGCCATTACCTAAGAGTAAAAAGCTCAGGGATGTAACAGAGTATGGAGTTTGCTAGAGTATATTGGAGAGATACAGTATTGCTCAATTTGCTACTCTGGGACACAATTCTTTGTATACTTATACCTGCAGGATCTCACTTATGGTTACCATGTAAAATGAAAAACAAAATCATAAAAATTCTCAACCATGACACTAAAATGACACTCTTCTCTCTCCTCCTTAGGTGAATAAAAATAGGTTGGAGAAAGGCTATCTTGAGCAAATAAAATATGCTGAGGCTAGAAGCAAGCCAGGTGCTAAAATGGTTGGTTGCTGCCCAGGCAATAAGAAAAATAATTCTTAATTGTGTCCACTATATGAACCTGAATTATCATAGTTTCATTTCAGTGTTTTAACTTTCCCAAAACAAACCAACTCTGTGGATGACCAAAGCAGTGAAAATTCCATCAGCTAAAGGGATATTTTGACTCCTGCCCAAGTCACTGCACCTACCAGTACTACAAAGACACGAACAAATTCTACCATTACTTAGACAGAAATGATGCTCCATAGTAATTTTATCACATCTCTGGGGGAGGAGGATCCATGCTTAATATCCTGGTTGTGATTTATAATCTCCTAACCTAGAGTTCTACCAGCCCTACTTTTCTGGATGTACACTAAAGTTCTTACTTTCTTTATATTCTGTGACCAAGGTCAAACAGGAAATAGAAAATATACTAAAAAACAAGTCTATGATGTTCTTATGGAAACCACTGTTATTCCAAAATAGCTCAAAATATTGCCTAACTTATTTCAGTGCCATAGGCTGGGTTCTTTCAAAGCAGGTGTCAGTGGAAAACTGAATTCCCATTTGCTAGCATGCAAATTAAGACATATTGCCTTTCAGGCTTTTTGCCTTGTTTATAATTTGAATTCCTTGGGTTTGGATGTCAGCTAGTAAAATTTTAAAACCTAATACATAAGCTACATCAGAAATATCTAAATTGATAGATGAAACCTAGTCATGTGGAGATGACCTGAATGGACTATTATTCAAGAGGATTTATTTCAAGGAAAATACTGGATCCACATAGAAAGGTCTAAAGGAAGTGATTTGTGGGTTTTTCCTCTTTCCTAGACTTTTCTAGGAACTCTCAGGAAAGCTGACCCTCCTTACAATTAGATATTGATAGAAGTATTTATATGCACCTGCATTGTTTATAAACCATAAACACAGACACACATTCACCACCACCCTGGTTTCTGGAAAAAAAAATCTAAGAAATAAGAAAATATTTTATCTTGTAATTTTCAAAATGAGAACTCAGAGAAGTTGAAATATAAATCCTCAGAGGGAATAAAGGTTCTGGGAATTGAACCCAGAACCTCACATGCCAGGCAAGCACTCTTCCACTGAGCCACAACCCCAGCCTTAAATCCCTTCTTTCATACACAATCTTCTTAGCCCATAACATTTATCAAGCATGTCTCCATGCTTTAGGTCTTTTACAAAGGTTTCCCTCCGAACCCTATTTAATATTTAATGGTCAGTGCTAATGAAAAGATTCAGTAATTTTACAGATATTCCTGGAATTTGTTGTGATTTTTACCAGAATCATTAAACCAGAGGATATGAGCATACGAGTCACATTAGCAAATAGATTCTATAACTCAAGAACATGGTGCATATATACATTTATGTAGAACCTTTTTTTTAATTTTTATTGTTGGTTGTTCAAAACATTACATAGTTCTTGATATATCATATTTCACACTTTGATTCAAGTGGGTTATGAACTCCCATTTTTACCCCATATACAGATTGCAGAATCACATCAGTTACACATCCATTGATTTACATATTGCCATACTAGTGTCTGTTGTATTCTGCTGCCTTTCCTATCCTCTACTATCCCCCCTCCCCTCCCCTCCCCTCTTCTCTCTCTACCCCCTCTACTGTCATTCATTTCTCCCCCTTGTATTATTTTTCCCTTTCCCCTCACTTCCTCTTGTATGTACTTTTGTATAACCCTGAGGGTCTCCTTCCATTTCCATGCAATTTCCCTTCTCTCTCCCTTTCCCTCCCACCTCTCATCCCTGTTTAATGTTAATCTTCTTCTCATGCTCTTCGTCCCTACTCTGTTCTTAGTTACACTCCTTATATCAAAGAAGACATTTGGCATTTGTTTTTTAGGGATTGGCTAGCTTCACTTAGCATAATCTGCTTTAATGCCATCCATTTCCCTGCAAATTCTATGATTTTGTCATTTTTTAATGCAGAGTAATACTCCATTGTGTATAAATGCCACATTTTTTTAATCCATTCGTCTATTGAAGGGCATCTAGGTTGGTTCCACAGTATTGCTATTGTGAATTGTGCTGCTATGAACATCGATGTAGCAGTGTCCCTGTAGCATGCTCTTTTTAGGTCTTTAGGGAATAGACCGAGAAGGGGAATAGCTGGGTCAAATGGTGGTTCCATTCCCAGCTTTCCAAGAAATCTCCATACTGCTTTTCAAATTGGCTGCACCAATTTGCAGTCCCACCAGCAATGTACAAGTGTACCCTTTTCCCCACATCCTCGCCAGCACTTGTTGTTTGACTTCATAATGGCTGCCAATCTTACTGGAGTGAGATGGTATCTTAGGGTGGTTTTGATTTGCATTTCTCTGACTGCTAGAGATGGTGAGCATTTTTTCATGTACTTGTTGATTGATTGTATGTCCTCCTCTGAGAAGTGTCTGTTCGGGTCCTTGGCCCATTTGTTGATTGGGTTGTTTGTTATCTTATTGTCTAATTTTTTGAGTTCTTTGTATACTCTGGATATTAGGGCTCTATCTGAAGTGTGAGGAGTAAAGATTTGTTCCCAGGATGTAGGCTCCCTATTTACCTCTCTTATTGTTTCTTTTGCTGAGAAAAAAACTATTTAGTTTGAGTAAGTCCCATTTGTTGATTCTAGTTATTAACTCTTGTGCTCTGGGTGTCCTATTGAGGAATTTGGAGCCCGACCCCACCGTATGTAGATCGTAGCCAACTTTTTCTTCTATCAGACAGCGTGTCTCTGATTTGATATCAAGCTCCTTGATCCATTTTGAGTTAACTTTTGTGCATGGTGAGAGAAAGGGATTCAGTTTCATTTTGTTGCATATGTGTTTCCAGTATTACCAGCACCATTTGTTGAAGATGCTATCCTTCCTCCATTGCATGCTTTTAGCCCCTTTATCAAATATAAGATAGTTGTAGTTTTGTGGATTGGTTTCTGTATCCTCTATTCTGTACCATTGGTCCACCCACCTGTTTTGGTACCAGTACCATGCTGTTTTTGTTACTATTGCTCTGTAGTATAGTTTGAAGTCTGGTATCGCTATACCACCTGATTCACACTTCCTGCTTAGCATTGTTTTTGCTATTCTGGGTCTTTTATTTTTCCATATGAATTTCATGATTGCTTTCTCTATTTCTACAAGAAATGCCGTTGGGATTTTGATTGGCATTGCATTAAACCTATAGAGAACTTTTGGTAATATCGCCATTTTGATGATGTTAGTTCTGCCTATCCATGAACAGGGTATATTTTTCCATCTTCTAAGATCTTCTTCTATTTCTCTCTTTAGGGTTCTGTAGTTTTCATTGTATAAGTCTTTCACCTCTTTTGTTAGGTTGATTCCCAAGTATTTTATTTTTTTTGAGGATATTGTGAATGGAGTGGTTGTCCTCATTTCCATTTCAGAGGATTTGTCGCTGATATACAGGAATGCCTTTGATTTATGTGTGTTGATTTTATGTCCTGCCACTTTGCTGAATTCATTTATTAGCTCTAATAGTTTCTTTGTAGACCCTTTTGGGTCTGCTAGGTATAGAATCATGTCAACTGCAAATAGTGATAATTTAAGTTCTTCTTTTCCTATTTTTATGCCTTTAATTTCTTTCGTCTGTCTAATTGCTCTGGCCAGTGTTTCGAGAACTATGTTGAACAGAAGTGGTGAGAGAGGGCATCCCTGTCTTGTTCCAGATTTTAGAGGGAATGCCTTCAGTTTTTCTCCATTCAGAATGATGCTAGCCTGAGGCTTAGCATAGATTGCTTTTACAATATTGAGGTATCTTCCTGTTATCCCTAGTTTTTCTAGAGTTTTGAACATAAAGGGATGCTGTACTTTGTTGAATGCTTTTTCCGCATCTATCGAGAAGATCATTTGGTTCTTATTTTTAAGTCTATTGATGTGGTGAATAACATTTATTGATTTCCGTATATTGAACCAGCCTTGCATCCCAGGGATGAATCCTACTTGATCATGGTGCACAATTTTTTTGATATGTTTTTGTATCCTATTTGCCAGAATTTTATTGAGGATTTTTGCATCTAGGTTCATTAGAGATATTGGTCTGTAGTTTTCTTTCTTTGAAGTGTCTTTGTCTGGTTTAGGAATCAGGGTGATGTTGGCCTCGTAGAATGAATTTGGAAGTTCTCCCTCTTTTTCTATTTCCTGAAATAGCTTGAAAAGTATTGGTATTAGTTCCTCTTTAAAGGTTTTGTAAAACTCTGCTGTATATCCATCCGGTCCTGGGCTTTTATTAGTTGGTAGTCTTTGGATGGTTTCTTCTATTTCCTCAATTGATATTGGTCTGTTTAGGTTGTTTATATCCTCCTGACTCAATCTGGGCAGATCATATGACTTAAGAAATTTATCGATGCCTTCACTATCTTCTATTTTATTGGAGTATAAGGATGCAAAATAATTTCTGATTATCTTCTGTATTTCTGAAGTGTCTGTTGTGATATTGCCTTTTTCATCCCGTATGCTAGTAATTTGAGTTCTCTCTCTTCTTCTCTTCATTAGCATGGCTAAGGGTCTGTCGATTTTATTTATTTTTCAAAGAACCAGCCCTTAACTTTTGTCAATTTTTTCAATTGTTTCTTTTGTTTCGATTTCATTAATTTCAGCTCTGATTTTAATTATTTCTTGCCTTCTACTTCTTTTGCTGTTGTTTTGCTCTTCTTTTTCTAGGATGTTGAGATGAACTATGAGATCATTTATTTGTTGGTTTTTTCTTTTTTTAAGGAATGAACTCCAAGCAATGAATTTTCCTCTTAGAACTGCTTTCAATGTGTCCCATAGATTCCGATATGTTGTGTCTGTGTTTTCATTTATCTCTAAGAATTTTTTAATTTCCTCCTTGATGTCTTCTATAACCCATTGATCATTCAGTAACCTATTGTTCATTCTCCAAGTGATGCATGATTTTTCCTTCCTTCTTTTATCGTTGATTTTCAGTTTCATTCAATTATGATCAGATAAGATGCATGGTATTATCTCTACTCCTTTATATTGTCTAAGAGTTGCCCTGTGACATAATATATGATCTATTTTTGAGACGGATCCATGTGCTGCTGAGAAAAAAGTGTAACTGCTTGATGTTGGGTGGTATATTCTATATATGTCAATTAAGTCTAGGTTATTAATTGTGTTATTGAGTTCTATAGTTTCCTTATTCAACTTTTGTTTGGAAGATCTGTCCATTGGTGAGAGAGGTGTGTTGAAGTC